ATACTAGGCTCTTAATATCATATAATGATTGATAAGTATTATGTAGAGTGAATAACATTTTATAATGACTGAATGATGAGTGAAGGAAAGCATTGTGGCTGCTTTAGATTTTGAGTTACGAGGAGAGGTATTATCCTAGGTCAGCTTCCCTGGAATAAGATTGTAAGAAAATGAACAAGTGAATTATAAAAAAAAAAATGCAGCCAGGGGAAACCAATATGTGAGTGGGGACAAGGTAGAGTGAGCCAAGCTCGGGTGCAGTTGGTTTGGGGCAAAGTCTTCAGGCTGACTGGCAGTGTTTTAAGAGGACAGTGCAATCCAGCTAGAGACAATCTGAGGTCAAGGATGGTCAAAAGACAGTGAGTGGTGCCTGGGGAGAGACTGACGCCTCTGCAGTAGGGTGCCTAACTTACTTTAGCTCGTGTATTTTAGCAGCAAACATGTTAGAACTGAGCATTCTATTGTGGTTTCCGTGTCAATCTGCTAAGTGAGCACAGTTACATCGAAGCTTGTTAAGCTTCTAGAAGCTATACAGATGGTTTTTCTATGCTACTACTTTTTCTTCCCTCCAGATTGTTCCTCATCCTTACGTATTCAAGGAATCATTGCTTCTAATTCACTTCCTTTCTCCATCTTCTATAGCCACTCTACATTTAACTTTTTGCTTAATTTTAATTTCCAGAGCAGGAATCTAATTTTAGTACCCAAAAGTTCCTTTTATGAATCTAAATCTGAAATCACTTCTGTACGACAACATGTGCTTCTGGTTCTCCTCGGTTCAAGGTAAAGCCTCCTCTTATTTCTGAGAATACATCTCCTTTATTATTTATTTCATTTAAATAAATGACTTATTATATGGTTGGCCTTCTGTGATATCTGTGAATTTATAGTAAATTCGACTGCATAATCAAAACACAGTGATGAAACAACTCTTCTCTATCAAATGGACCAACACACAGGGCACATATTCTGCCCAAATCTCACACCTTTCTTTTCTTTCTTTTCCTATAATTTCTTTACTTATGCTGTCTTTATTTTCCCTTAAGTCAGTGCTTCATAGAATATTTGGACATTGTCTTTTTCCAGACAGTTTCATTTCTATCAGGAAGTTTCAGATCTTTCCTTTAACTTAACATATGGAACTGCCTTTCCTTTCAAAAGCTCTAGATATGACCAGTGAAAAATAGTATGAACCAAACTACAGAAGGAGACATGAAGGGTGTTTTTTTATTGGTTCTTGGCTGGTTATACGAGATTTGGCACAGAGTCATTATTATTTTTTTATTGGCTATGAATATTCATGAGATACAGAACTGATTGTCACCCCTCCTGCCCAAGAAGTGGCAGCATGCCCATCACCACACACTGCATTTGTACCCCATGTCCCCCACCCAATCATCTCCGACCTCCTTCCTCCCCTTCCCCCAACTCCACTTTGTATCCCCAGATATGTTCTCTCCCTCCACAAGTCCAATCCACCCCTGTGGTCTTCTATCCTGCCTTCCTTTCTCTCTTAGCTCCCACTTATGAGTGAGCACATGCGGTATTTATCCCTCTGTGCT